GAACTCCTCCTGGCTTCAGGTGATCCTCCTGCCTCGGGCTCCCAAAGTGCTGGAATTATAGGCATGAACCACCTCTCTGGGCCTCTTTTAATCTTTTTTGACATTACTATCAGAAAATTTAAAATTACTCACCTTATAATGGATCAGCTCACATTTTATTTCTATTGGACATTACTGTTCTAGAGTGGCATCACTCTTCAGGAAGTGAATTACCTTAATAAAAATGGACATAGGAGTACCCAAAACTTTCACAGTATCCTCTTAGAATCAGAATAATCAAAGGGCAAAGGACTTTGGTAATATGAAGGATACAGTTATCCATTAGCTATGATTTGATAGGCAGAAATAAGTAAGTTCTGCCTCAAAAATAAGTATTTTTCAAGTATAGCCAAAGAAGCAAAGCTTTATTAGTTATATTAGTTAAAATAGAAAGTTATCCCATTATTGCCCTATTAGAATGTACTGGGAGTTATCTTATTTTACTTATTAAAAAATTGAGTTCAACCCCATAGAAAATTTAATAAACAAAACTTGAGTCGTATTAGTTTCATAACTTCCAGCGAAGTCACATGTAATAGCAGTCTTTAAAGTTGTAATTCAATTCTTTTTTCTCCAATCCCTTTTTTATGTTTGGATGCTGAGTTTTATATAGCTTGCATATTATTTCCATTGGTTTTTGTTTGCTTGTTTTTTTAGGCTAAGACCCAAATTTTACTTAGTCTTTAAATATAATTTTAAGTCCAAAACTAATCATTTTTAAGTTTTCTGAATACAGAAGTACTGTTACAGTCTATTTCAATAGCTTATATTCCTCACATGCATTAACTAGAATGAAAACAATGATTGTTTTAATCAACAGACCTCAGCCCTCTAATGTTTACATTTTTGTAAAGAGAATTGTAAAATACTACACATATACATTTTTAACCTAACAGTGAAAGAGGCAGAAACTTGATTGTGGCATTTTAAAATCAGGTGCCATAGTCCTGAACTGTCTGCTTAATATGGTGGACTAATAAGAGAAAATGAAAGTACTTAGGCTGTTATGAAGTTTGCTTTTAATAAAGCAGTTTGTAATCTGCATCATATAAGAGATGCCTATTACTCTTCCTGTTTTATATGTTAGCACTCATAGCAAGGAACTTGCAGCTTGGAAAATTTAAGGTTCCACCTTTAATTTAGCATTTTTTACTCCTATGCTTTATCTTATTATCCTTCAATTTTAGTAACTGGTAACTAAAATTAGTTAATGCAAATAATTAGAATGTTTTTTTAAGTAATCCCTTTAGATATCTAGAGTTGTAGGCTTTTTAATCCATTTTATCTCAACTTGAAATGTTTTGGTAGTATATTTAGGATGAATACTTCAGTATTAACTATAAATGTTAACAGCAATTTAGACTTAACGTAGACTCAAATAAGTTACTGTGAAACATGTAAATCTAGAAGTTTTACAAATTAACATGTAGTCTTAATGCCCCATGGTTCATTTATATGCTTTTTAAAATAAAATATGAAGACAATAGGGTATTTATCATTTTGAGTAGTTACAAAATATTTTCTAGCTAAAAGTTTAATCAGTGCCTTTTCTGAAGGAATGAAAGTTCAATTTTTATCACCAAACATTTTAATGGACTATATAAGTTTCTTCCATATTTTAGATAAAATTTTATTTTAATGTTTTTATCTTAAGAAATCTAGATTTTATTGATAATAGTACTGAAGAAAAATATTTTTTAAAAATTCAAAACATTTTTCATATCTCATAAGGAAAGTTTAGTGTATAATTTTGCTGTGAGAAAGTTCGAATCTGGCATATAGCAGGAGGAGAATATGGTAGAGTTATTGCCAAAATTTTGACAGTTTTTCTATTAAAAATATTCAATTTCTGATAGAAATTAAACTTCTCAGCATTAATTATGTTAAAACCTCTGATGTTCTTATACCTAAAAACACTAAGGGCTATTATAACATTAAATTATTAAGTGTATTCTGGAATAGATTGAAACACTTTATATAGTAGGCAAAAATATGAAAGATTAGCATTTTTTGTTTCGTTGAAACTTTTTTCCCCCACTAATGAACTATGAAGCGTTTCAAGATGATCTTGGAAAACTAAGGAAAAAGTATTTAACACTAGTATTCTATTACCCAGTCGCCTATAATACCCTAACCCACAAAATTATTGTTACAAAAGGGGTGGCCATTATGAAAAAACACAGTGCCCTGTTTTGATACCTATTTCATCAGTTCAAGTTATTAACTAAGGGTTCTCTTAGAAGATTTAAGATAAAAGTCATTCTTCTTCTTCAAAGGCCTTGTCTTGTATTGTTCTGTAACCTAGAAAATTGAGCATTAAAAATATTAAATGAGGCCGGGCGCGGTGGCTCACGCCTGTAATCCTAGCTCTCTGGGAGGCCGAGGCGGGCGGATTGTTTGAGCTCAGGAGTTCGAAACCAGCC